TTGCACTAGAGTTGATTCTGCTGGAGTTCTAAAATCTTAATGCTTCAGTGTAAATAGGTTTTAGATTGGCCTGTCGTTTGCACTGTTAGATGTGATTTGTATAACATAATTCAAAATCTATTCCAAGGGGTTGTTTGTACTTTCAATACATTCAGTAACTCAGCAGAGGTGAACTACCAGATACAATCCTAGAAAATGCTGCAGTGGGAGGAGGATGTAGAAAGCCCTGCAAAGAATTACAAGGAGAACTTGCAAAATATGTTTCACAAAGATAGCACACAAACCAAAATAAAGCCAAGTGTCAATCCAAGGGGGAAAATAGACCCTTTCAACATCACATGTGGAAGCTCTTTAACAAATGAATGTGCTGTGCTGATTTTCCACCATTTGGGGAGCGATGACATGTCTGAAGCTGTACTAAACATTGTTAAATGTTAAGGGTGTGCTTTAAATGTCAAGTGCCAAATCCTGCCCTTCACAGTGCTAAGTGTAACATGACTGTGCAGAAGTGTCCATGCAACAAGACTGCACAGGCAATTTAATTTCTAAATTTCACTCAATTTAAGTTTCACCTGCTTGGCATTCCTTCATTGTAGCAATATATTGCCTGGTCCCTAACAGAGTCCTAAACTTTCTTTCCCTATTAAGATCAGTATTAAGTAGAATGTCCGTTTCAGTGGCTTTACAACACAGGATACATGTTTGGAGGCTGCTGTAATAAAACTGCTGAGAAATGCAGAACAAGATCTGCCAGCAAGCACTACATGTGAAGTCTAAATGTTCTCTAGGATAATACGGCAAACGTAAAAGAGCCACAAAAATTCTCAGCTGTCAAGAAGTATCATCTCTTTTAATTGCATTGCGCTGTGCAGCACCTGGATGTTCCAGTATGGAAAATATTAGAATATTAAGTGCAGTACTTGAGAGAGCAGAAGCCCAGTTCCCCAGCAACTATGGGCTATTCCTCATGCACGCTGTGCACACACTAAAGATCACTGTAGATATTTCACACACAAACACTGTAAAGTGGATATTAGCTCTCCGAGCATTTTCACAGGCATTGCCCTACGGGTTTGGCTGTAAATGAACGATAAGCTGGATCTTCATCTCTGAAAAGTATTTTCATTTCAGTGCGACTATTTCTCATTTTGTTATTACGTTCTGTCAAGTTGTCTCTGACCCTCTGAAAGAATGCCCCCAAGTTGTTACTGGTATACTCTAAAAATGTTCATAGTTTCAGTCTGATGACTGATAATAGTGTTCACTCTGTTCTCATTATGTCGTATGGTTGGATGCTGGCAACTTCTTCTTCTTTCTTTTTTTGACAGCTTGTAAAAATAAAGATATTTATATATTTACATATCAAATATCTGGAGCAGCTAAGTAGTTGATCACTTAGACTACCCATATGCCAGGAACATTTACAAAGGGAAAACCAAGCAGCATGCTTTTGCAAGAATGTGGATATGGCAACATTTCTAGTTTTAGAAGGAAGGTAATGAAATTTAGAATAAATGCAGCACTGGATGTCTGAAAATAGGCATCCCAGAATGTCCAGTAGGGACAGTGTCATATAAATAGGATAGCTAATTCCTTTCGCAAGTTCACTTAAGAAGCTGCCATATACAGAATCAGGCCAATAGAAGCAGCTCTCTGAAATTTTAGGCAAGAGTCTTTCCCAAAGCTGCTGCCTGACATATTTTAACTGGATATAGCAAGCCCTGACCCTGGAACCATAGAAAAGCAGGGTTTTGCTATTGAGCTATAGGTAGAAATTATATAATTGAAACAATTGAGTGTGCATGGAAGTAAATTTGATGCACTGTGGTCCTTAAAAACCTGTAAAAACCGTGGTGCCTGCTGCCTCTATATAGCCACAGCATTTGTTTTCAGACCTCAGAGAAGCTGCCGAGCAACTCTGATCACTTCCACTCGAGTTCTGTCCTCCTCCGCTTTCTCCTCCCACTCTCAGCAAGCAGAGGCTGAGCCAAGCTCACTGCTGCAGAATTTAAATGATCGATGCTTCTGCTGTATTTTCTGACTGGGCCAGAAAAGGATTATCTGAAAACTTCCATACGTTCCCTCAACTTCACAGTCTCAGAATACCTGCATATGAAGCAAACTCACACAGCAGCCATACAGAAGCTAGATGTGTTGATCTGGATTTCAGGAGCACCATGTGCTCACAGGCCCCATTGCCTTCCTCAAACTGCAGGGAGACGGAGTCAATACTCCAAACTAAAGAGCAAGGCAAACACCCAGCAAAGGACTCTTAAGTAGGAAAAATGAATGCAACAAAAAGTACCATGCGGCCAGAGTCACACTGTGAATCACCAACTATGCCTGCTGATGCTGAATCTAAGCATCTCCGTGCCTCTGCTTTTGTAAGAACAAGCTTCATGCCCACATGACTGCTAAGGGAAAATAACATTTGTCACAAAAGCCTTAGAAATTGGAGTAGTTCTAAATATTGCAGTTTATGAAGCAAAGACCCATGTCCTCCTCCCTTATCACCCATACACAATGAATACAACGTGTCTATTGCACATCCCCTTCACACATCTTCCCTTTCTCTCCCTGTCCAGAATCTCTGAAGAAAAGGGTTAACACTATGGAAAATCCTGAATTTTACAACCAGAGAAAATTATGCAAACAATATAGGCGGGCTGCAGATTCATAGGACTGGAGTTTTACAATGTTAGAGAAAAATCTTACTCATGTATGCAAGGCTGACTCAGAAGAAAATAAATCTAGAGGTATTATGCATGCAGAAACAAATCACTTCATTTAAAATATACAGAATACCTCCCCCCCCCGCACACACACAAACACACTATTAAGGTAGTTTTCGGCATCATATTAGTAATGCTGAACTTCACTAAAGGGCCTGAGTATTCGGTGCTGGGTGCCTCTTCTTTGACTAGTACCCTGATGTGCTGCAGACAAGCAGACACCAAGGAAATACTGCGTGACAGAAGTAACAAAAACAAGAACAAACAAACCAACTCTATACCAGCTTGGAAAGGTGGTCTGCATTTAGCTCTACATTTAGTATGCCTCTGTTTCCCTGGCAAATGCTAACAGGGAATTGCAGTTTAAATACACACTTTGGCTACAGTCCACAAACTATTTTACCTGTAGAGTAGGCCTATTAAAATGCAAACAATTGGGCTTTAGATTGCAGCCTGCCACAATTCCTGCTTGCAATAGAGGTTGGAAAGCTTACAAGTCGAAGCTCTCCTAAGCTTTTTGAATTTGTCCCTTCAATGACACTGCCAGCACAGGGAAAATAGGACACTTGCTTGAGCAAGTCAAACCAGGCAGTGTCTAGGCTGCAACTTCTGTTTTGAAAATGGCACCATTTCCTTCATTCGCAGTCACTGTGGCTGGGTAAAAATTGCTGCACAGGCAGCCGACTGGGAAATTACAGTGATTAAGAAGCAAGCATTCCAACTCTTACTCACAAGAGTAGCCTTGAACCTCAGCATTGTTCATGTGATCACAGAACCTTGTAAGTAAGAGGGGCTTACAAAAGGAAGGGTTTTAAAATTTGGTCTTACTGTGCACAGAAAAGGATGACTAAGTAGCCTTTAGTGTACTGTGTGAGAATGTGGGAAGAATGTGTCGCTGCCTTTATTGAGAACTCTAAAGATGGCTAGAAATAGAGAATTTCAACCTGATGTCTGTCATAGCCACCTCTCCTGGGATACCCTCGGCATGCCACATGTTCCTGAGTGTCAGATGCCTGCTGTCTCAAAGAACTGCTTTTTATTTTACTTCAAAGGAACATTGTACATGCAGTACATTTCACACATCCACACTCCACAGCACTCCACTGGACAGGTACTCTAGAAATGTAAAAGCTTTTCATGGTTGTGTGTGTGTGTGTGTGTGTGTGTGTGTGTGTGTGTGTGTGTGTGTGTTTTTAAACCCAGTGTTTAAAACAGAATTGTATGGCTGAATGCATTTGTCCCTTTTGCCATCTTTTCAAACTCAGCCCCTCAACTACCCCTCGCCTCATAATGACTTTGCACATATTACATAACAGCATATTTTGCAAGAAAGAGATAATTTAAGAATGTAGACTAAAAACATTTGAAATCTCCCAATTCTAACCAGATAATTTAATAACAAGCACCTCTACTGTTTGGACAGAGTACCTTGCACCGTCTGACGTGCTATGGCTACAATCCTAGCCACACTTTATTTGGAAAAAGCCTCACAGAAATCAATTGGACTTACTTCTAAGTAGCTCTATATAGGATTACACTGCATATGTCACAAACAAGTAACACTAATCCCCATCCTGAAAATAACATCTGTCAAATTAACTTATATTTGGATATGAGGGAGAAGAATGAAAGAGATGAAAGGAAAACAAGGTGTTTGAGAATAGATGATAAACAACAGTATCCTTATTACTGAAAGGGGTAAGTGATGAAGAAGATATTATCTCTTTAGATTATGTATAGTTAGTTAGTTAGTTCTTTCCATACCAACCAAAGGCGAAAGCCAGTCACAACAGTATTTTAGGCTGTGATCATATGTTATTCAATACAGTGGAACTCAGAGGAGTGCCCTGTTGGCTGGTGCTTGGGAAGTTCATGTGCATCCCATACGTTGTAATCCAACCTTCTGCCGCCTGGTCCCCTCCATGTGTCGAACTCCAACCCCTATCACTCCCAGGCAGCCACTGGCCATGCTGCCTGAGGATTGTGGAGGTTGTAGTCCAACATATCTGCTACTGGCAAAAGGGTGTTGTATCCTATACAGAATCTTAAGTAAAAGTATGGGAGAACACCCAAAGAAATAAAGGTGGATTTTTATCCTTTTCAGATCATACTCATTTCCATTATACCTTAACACAAAGGAGTAAAATAACCATTTGCAATACATTGGCTACCTTTTTCTGAGAGTTTCCCCCATTTCCTTTCCTTCTTACTACCTCTTCTACAAAACCTCCCTCTAAGGGGAATGCCCCAAAAGGACAAAGTACCAACCACATTTGTCTCCAGAATCATCAAACTCCACGTTGAAGGAGTGCCCATTGTTGACTATGTTCTTGGCCGCAGACGGGTCATAGGAGATGCTCAGCGACTTCAGGGAGGGGTCATACTTGGCAGCCTTAGTCTGGATGTCAATCGGTGACTGCCGATCTCCATTGGCAATGGGGCAGGTCACATGCCAGTGCGCAGGTCCTATAGGCAAAGAGAGAAAGAGCAGAAAAGGCACAGGAATGATCCACCAACAGAATGGATGGTAGGGGAGTGATGGATAATAAACTCAAAGAAGGCCTTAATGCCTTATGTGAAGTTAGGAGGTTTTAACATTTTTGCCTCATCAATATTGAATGCGTGTCTGAAACAATCTCAGCCATCCAGAATTAGAAGCATGTGTACTGAGCAGAGATGGATCATCTGAGGAGCAGCCAGTGCAAGGGGAGAAAACCATGAGGATCTGCAAGCTTGGATCCAGCCTTGCACAGATCTAGGAATTCGGGGGTGAGGCCTTGAGAGGTATACGAGAGTAATGCATCAGCCTCTGACCTTTCTCCACTAAGAGGGATGGGGAATGGACCACGCTGAAGGAGCCCTCAGCACATTGTTCAAGACGGGGCATCTCTGGATAGAACAGGGGGCAATCAGCGTTCATAGCAAGCTCCAGCAGCATCTCCATCACTTTTGTAAAGCAGTGAACATGGCAGCAGCGTCCTATCAGTTCATGATGTTAACAGTTGTACGCACAGGAATGGCAGTTTCCCATCTTATTTACACCCTTCTTTTAGAAATATGGGGGGAAGAAGGGGCTACCTAGCATGACCTCATGCTCAGGGGACAGATTCAGGCTCTCCTAATTCAGGGGCAACTCCAGGGGCACACATGGGGTGCTCTGGAAGGGAACAGGAGGCACAGTCCTGGCTTTAGGACAAAAGGGAAACTTCCCTCTTGGATCCCCTGATATTCCCATCTCAAGCATCCCAGTGGCCCAGCAAAAGAAACAAAGCACTTTCTGCTAGCGGTAAGTATCAGGCTGGTGGGAAAGGGATATCAGAAAACAGTCGCTCGGGAGGGCCAGGTGGCAGTGGAAATCCAGGTGAAGAGATCTACAGATCTCTCCATCACTTGCACCTCAAGCCTCGCGCGCAGGAACTCCTGGAAACTCTCCGAGGCTGGATGTCCCAAGCCGACTCATACAGCAGAACCATCCGCCAGGAAAGCAGCTCAGGATTGCATCTTCGCTTAATTCTGGAATCCTGTGCTGCACCTCAACCCCGCACCGGTTTCTAAGCCTTTCTAGACCGAACGAGATCTCCGGTCGCCCAGGACGCCGTCCCCGAAACGCAGGCTTCGCCCCCTGCTCTGATTCCAGAACACGGCGTGTTGCCGGCAGCGCGGAACCGCAAGCGGCGGCGGGATGCGCTCCCGGACGAGCGGCGACGTCACGAGCAGCAGCAGCAGCAGCAGCAGGTGCTGCGCGGGAGCTCTCCAGTGGCTCTTGCCGGCGCGGGGAAGGAAGCCTCAGGCAGGGGGCAGCGGGGGATGGGGGGCGTCGGGGGCCAGGGGCGCCCCGTCCGAGGGCCGGGGAGGCGGAGAGGCACCTGCGAGAGGACCCGCCGCCCGCCGCAAGGACTCACCGTTGTCCTTGCCGTATCCCCAGTGGTGGGACATGGTGCTGGCTCAGCTGTGCCCGGGCGCTGCTGCTGCTGCTGCTGCTCTCGCGGTCGCTCTCGCTTGCCCGCCCGTGGTGGCGCCCGGGCTCTTCTCAGGGGCTTTTATAGGCTCCGGCCAACTCCATGCCCCTCGCGGACATCGCCGGCGGGAGGGGGAGGGCCGGGGGAGGAGGCTCGCGGCGGAGCACGGCCGGGGCGGGGAGAGCCGCGCGGTGTCCCGATGCGCTCCCGGGACCCGGCGCCGTGGCCGCGCGCGGGGCGCCTGTTCCGTCACTGAAGCGCTGCCGCCGCGTCGCACGGCGTCGCGGCAAGCCGGAGCCTGGCACCGCCGCGGCCACGGGCGCGGGCGCGGGCGGGCGCTCCGGGCAGAGCACGGGCGGCTGTCGCCGCCGCCGCCGCTGCGCTGCCGCTTCGGGGAGGAGCGGGATCGGCTCAGGCCCGCCGGGAAGACGGATTAATCATCGAGCCGCTCGGAGGGCGGAGTGGGGCGAGCGGCGGCGGGGAGAGGCACCGGGGCGAAGAGGCCGAGGGAGGCGAGGTCCTTCTCCGAGGCCTTCCGCCGCTGCCGAGCGCCGCCCGCATCCCACGCGCCGGAGCCCTGCTCCTGCCGGAGGCGGGAAAGCTGTCGCGGCGTGACCTTGGCACGGTCCGCGCGGGCGGGCGAAACAGGGCCGGGCGCCCGGGCGTGTGCAGGAGCGCGGCGACGCGGGGCGCTGCGGGATGAAGGGCAGCGGGAAGCGGCCGGGGCGCCCGCGGGTTCGCGCGGGGACAGCGGCGAGGACCGCGCGCCCGGGGTCGCCTCGGGGCGTGCGGGAGCGCCGCCTGGGGATGCTCGGCCACGTCCTCCGGCGACCCGCCGTGTGGCGCTCGGGGCCGCCGGGCGCTCATCTCTGCGCACGTGCGCGGGGCCCCGCAGCCGCAACCGCACCGCGCTCCTCGCGCCTTGGAAATATGAGTGGGGGGCGCTGCGGCGGCAAGCGACCCCCCCCCCCCGCGGCAGGCTGGTTGCAGCGCCCGAGAAGCTCAAAGGAGTTTCGATGCGCGGGTGCCCAGGCAGAGGCCGGCGAGAGGATGCTGCTTTTGGCGACTAGGAAATGTGGCATAGCAGTAAGCTGGCCATGAGGCGCAGTGGATTGATGCTGCTCCTGGGCGAGCTTAACGCTATTTTTGCCACCCCAGCTCCCCGCGTTTGGTGCAGCGGGCCAAGGGTGCTTCTCCGCAGCAGCGTGTTACTCCTGCCGAGGCATTGCCTGTCGGCCGTTAAGTGGAAGTGGAACTGAAACAGAAATTTCCAACGGGCTTAATGTCAGGCTGTGCTAGCTGGCGTTGTCCTTGTGCCGCGGCCGTGATTCTCCTGCAATATCTAGGAAAGTTGGAAGTTGCCTGATACTGTACTGAGTCAGGCCCTTTAGCCCAGTGTTGTTGGCACAGACTGGCAGCTGCTTTCCAGGGATTAGGCAGGTCTCCTTAGCCCTACTTGGAGATACCGGGGAGCAAAGGTGGGACCTTCTGCTTGTAGCAAATGGTCTACCACTGAGTTACCGCTGTTCTCAAGTTGTCTCAACATGCCCAGGATTGTGCCATTAATGGAACTGCCGTTTTATGCCAAGCAATGAATGGTAAATCTTGCAGTATTGAACAACATACTGAGGTGCTAAATATGCAGTAACAGTAGAACAAAAGAATGCAGGCATCCTGTATTCACCTTTGTACCTCATTGCTGCAAATAGTAAAGATAAGTAGATAACAAGTTCTGCAAACTGTTGATGGAAAACATTTAACAACTAGTATGACTTGTAGACGGGTGAGTGCCTGACTGACAAAATTAAATAAGTCATGGGCTTCTGGATTTTCATGACTGGCTGATTTTATCTGAAGGATCAACCTACACTGCTATTAGCCCACCCAAGAATTGAGAGTGCCTTCAAAGTCCTACTCCCTGCACCCCCCCATAAGAGTTATTAGGCTGGTGGGTATCAAGGAAAAGGTACCAGGGATAGGGTGTTCTCAGTGGTAACACCTCACTTTTGGAACTCCCTTCCCAGGAAGAGGCATAGAAACCAGAAGAGACATTTATTTCAGTCTGGATTTGATGCTTTAAAAGCACTAGCAGCTGTTCTCTCTCTCTGCATGTGTTTAATTGTACTGCACCCTGATGATGAGCTTGCAATCTTTTAAATAAAGAACTATGTCAGAAATATTTGGACAGTCTCACCTGGTTATTTCACCTTTGGAATAATACAGTACTTCTACAACAAACAACATTAACCTTTCCCTGGTAAAGTAATATAGAGCACACATGTAATTAGCAGTCTTTGTTGGAAAAGGGCCCAACTGAATTACATAACTAAAACTGGAAGAACTTTGGCATAACTACATGGTTTTATACTCGTGCTATGCAGTGGAATAGAGGGCTATTAGTACTTTATCTGTGAATAGAAAAGTGTGTTTACATTATTATTCCTAATAGTAAAACTGAACTAACTGAAAATTATATGGGAGAAAGAAAGGCACTTCTCAGGATTTCTTTGGGGATTAGCAGAAAATGCTTCAGTGATTATTACCAAACAAAGTGTGGTGATCTGTTTATGGTTTTATTCAGATTTCATGATTTTATAATGGTCATTACACACAAGTAGAAAGAACCACACATAGGAAGAAGGAACCACATAAATAGGCAAGTGACCAACGTATGTTAAACTTCTATCTGCCTATGTGACCCTGCTCATATGTTAATAGGTTGATCACTTTGGCAAGTCTTTATCATAGATGTCACAGTAGTGAAAGTCCACTCACAATGGAACTTCCCTATCCTTTCCCCCCATAGAGCATACCTGCTCCCCAACTTTGTTCCAAGGGTCCCCAAACTCTTAAACATATTTGGAGGGTGAGAGCTTTAGGCAGAAGACATATAACTAGCTGATTCCATTCTCTGGTGGAATAACATCTGGGATTTAAGTTAATGATGCTGCTTTTCTGAATTGATTACTATTTTGTGTAATTTGCCATGGACAGGTAATAGGTTATCCTTTTTTGCAACAAAATTATGCTCCTCTCCAAGCAGCAGACTCCGCTTTATTCTAATGGTCATTATGATACTAAGATTTAGGTGAATGTTGTAAAGCATGGAATGGGAGTAGGAGAGACGTGTTAATTGTGTGCATTGCAGCTGAAGCAATATTCATGGCCATTCAAAATAACATTGTGTCCAGGGTCTAAAATAACCTACCTACATCTCAGCCTGAGATGAGCATAAAGACTTACATAAATCTAATACCTCAGTCATGGTTTCAGTGGATTTACCTCCAACAAGTTATATTTAGGATTGGATTGGAAGGCTGAGCTGGACAAACCATTAGTGCTTGTGTCTCATATATTATTTTCTGGGCTTAATATTTCATGTGTGTATGTGCATGGCTGCATATTATTGCAATAAAGATTTCACACCCTTTTTCCATATTGCAGATATTTTATGATAAAATATTAAGTACATTGCAATAAATGTTAGGCCATGTAAAAGCTGGGATAAATTACCTTGAAACCATTCATACTATCATGTTACACTTGCTGGGTAACATAAACTGCAAAGACTGGAGGATTTTCAAAGAAACCAACCCAAATCTATGGATAAGGGTCTCAAAGGCAATCACCCTGCATAGTCAGTTCCTTTAAATACCATTTGCATGGAGAACCAGAGCAAGTTACATTTAAATGAATGGACTGAAGCTGAGATAAGCTTAGTCAGTTACATTATTGTCCTTTTAATGAAGCAGGTAAATATCTTGACTGAAAATATGTTACCCTGAGTAATGTACACTGCATTCAGGAAATTATCTGAGGACCAAAATAGTTGTCCTGGGGAAATGTTTTCATTCAAACAAGATTTTAAAAGCTCAAATAGCCACAAGGGTTTATTTTACCCTTGTCTTTCTCAGTGCCTTCTTGCATACCAGATCTAAAGGTTTTGCCTTTGCCTAAGAACATTCTCGGGTCTGACAGCATCTGTGAATTATCTTCCTAAATATTGATGAACACAACCACAGCCAGAGGGCCTATGGTGCTTTGTGCATAAAAGTGATGCAAAAGTGTTGTAAACTTTGTTTAATCCAGAAGTGATGAGAAATGGATGAACATTAGCAATCCTTTTGATAGTTGTGAGTTTCTGCTGCCCATAATACAAGCACTTTGCATAGACACTAGCTAAGAGTGAATATTGACTGGCCATAACATAGGCCTCTCCAGTTAATTCATTCCCTCACAAGACCCAGCATATTCCCCTCCTTTATAACAACAGCTCTTCTCTACTTGACTTGTTTATTTTCCTGTACACTGTTTATACAAATACAGGCCTTGGGTAAGCTGAGATGTGTTCTATCTTTTTTCATTCAGTATTTCCTTTGGTTTCTTGATGGCTTTTCCATACTCAAGCAATCATTTGAGAGCTTTGCATCATAAACAAAATCATATAAACACAGCCCTTAATAAGTACTGAAATCCTGGTTCTTTACATTCTCATTTATCTTTACCATTCTCTCAACACATCAGGTACTCCATTCTTGTTATTATTCATGCAGATGTGGTACTGTGCTAGGCAAATTACAGATAAAAAGATGTTTCAAGATCTGTAGAATTTCCTCTATTTTATTATCCAGCAGATCAATCCAAATCCACCATACTTCAGTTGTTGCTAAAAAGCAGCAACAGCATCACATGGAAGGATGTCTTTGTGGAACAGTATACTATATTTTGGCATAGATCAGTTGCAATTCCATTCTGTTTATTGCAGCCAAATGTTGTGCATACATCTGTATGTCTTTGATGTTTCCAGTACCTTTAGAATGGTGCATGGGTGGGGCTGTGGCTCAGTGGCTTAGCATGTCCTTAGCATGGAGAAGGCCCCACATTCACTTCTTGGCATCCCAGACAGGGCTACAAAAAATCCTGATTGAAACTCTGGCCTGGAGAGCTGTTCTAATCTTGTGTTGACAAAACTAGACTCAATGGACCCACAGCCTGCCTCTTCAGGCTTCTTTCTATGTTCTGGATTCCAAGATCATTCTGTGTTCTATGTTCCCTTGCAAACTTGTTCTCTCTATT